AAACCCCCCCCCCCCCCCATTTTTTTTTTTAATTCCAGCACTTTCTATGGTAAAGGATACATATTCCAGAATATTATTTGTATATGGGTTCATGGTTCTAGACAAGGTTGCAATAGGGTAGGAATAAGCTGCAGAGGAGAAAAAAAAAAGAGGAAAAAAAAAAAAAAAATCACACAGTGGCTGAGCAACCTGGAATACAACTGACAGATTTGTAACAGTTCAACAGACTTGGAAACCCACTGAACAAGGGATTAACATCAGCTTGGGCCCCCCTCACCCCTTTCCCAGAAAGATGGGTGTGCTGGATGAGTGCTGAGAGCATTCTGCACCCAAGTGATGTCCCACCTTGGGGGGGAAAATGAAGCCAGCCAGACTACGACACGAAAAGCTGAGTATCCGACCCCACCGCTGTGAGATTCCTCCTCACCTCCAACGATGTGACATTGGTCGTACGCGTCTCGGTCTCGTACGTCCAAAAGCAGGAAGGGGCAGTCGGGATAAGGCATGTCTTTAGCCTGGGTATCCACTTTCTTCGGAGTGTCCTTTTCTATATCCAGTTCGCCAACGCCGCTTATCACGCTACAAGAGGAAAGAGGAGGTTACGGCGCAAGCTCTCATTCTGAACACTTGTGTACCTCTGCACAGGTCAGAGGGCTTCTCCATCAACTGTTCCACCAGCCAGGCACCACGTAAAAATGGAGAGATTCTACTTCAGGCTTTCCAGTACATCATAAGAGACTGATTTTGTTTTTATGAATATAAAAAATAAGAGTACAGCCTTGAACATACCACACTCTTCTGGATCAGTCAAGTCCAGGTGTGTTACGTCTGAAGTGACTTTGAGGTGAGGGAGAATCAGAGAATCCCAGGATGGTTTGGGTGGGAAGGGACCTTAAAGCCCATCCAATTCCAACCCCCTGCCATGGGCAGGGACACCTCCCACTAGCCCAGGTTGCCCAAAGCCTCATCCAGCCTGGCCTTGAAACCCCTCCAGGGATGGGGCATCCACAGCTTCCCTAGGCAACCCGGGGCACTGCCTCACCACCCTCTGAGTGAAAAATTTCCACCTAATATCCAACCTAAATCTCCTCTTCCAGCTCAAAGCCGTTCCCCTCGTCCTGTCCCTGCACCCCCTGACCCAGAGCCCCCCCAGCTCTCCTGTAGCCCCCTTTCAGCACTGGAAGGTGCTGGAAGGTCTCCCCGGAGCCTTCTCTTCTCCAGGCTGCACACCCCCAACTCTCTCAGCCTGTCCTCGCACGGGAGCTGCTCCAGCCTCGGACCATCTCCATGGCTCCTCTGGCCCCGCTCCAGCAGCTCCGTGTCTGTCCTGTGCTGAGGACCCCAGAGCTGGGTGCAGCACCCCAGAGAGGGTCTCACCAGAGCGGAGCAGAGGGGGACAATCCCCTCCCTCGCCCTGCTGCTCACGCTGCTGGGGATGCCCCCAGGACACGGTTGGCTTTCGAATAATAATTCCAAGAAGCTGCCAACGTCAAGATCCCAGCAAGTCAGACACACAAAATAACTGGCTGTCATCTCCAAGGAGTGCTGTGCAGAGGATTCCCACTCCATCACCAGACTGGAAATGGGACATGAACAGAAACCTACAGATGCCCTTAGTGGCTTTGGTACACGATGGCTGAGCCCACCAGGCTCATGTCTCAACTCTTCTGTTAACGTTTGCCCAGGTACAGCAAGGGAAAGGCTGAGACAAAGCTTCACCTTACAGCATCTTCCTGATACCTCTGACCTTGACTAGTGATGGACTGGGTTTGGATATTGGACTCGTCAATCACAGGACAATCTGTTAAGATCATCAGGAAGGCACGTTACTGAGTTTACACCAAGGATTCTTGAACGCAGGGACCTGGATCAAATCTCACAGATGTATTTCCTTGTCAGGCATTTAGACAAATCATCAGGTGGCAACAGCATTGGGTTACAGCCACAAACCAAACTCATTTCGACAGGAAAACCTGCCAACGCTCTCTCTCGCTCACATCCCTGGACCTGCAAAGTCAGGTTTCATAGGAAAACAATATAAAGCCTCTAGTAGCAATTTAAAATAATCAGCCGCGTAAAAATAATTATCTGCTAAGAGAGGAAGAAAATTGTGTGTTATTATGGGGCACCTCTGCAGCGTGGACCGGAAGGATTCCCCAGCTCCTGTGTTGTTTATGAACAGGATGGGGCTGCGTGTCCCATCAGGGCTGCCTTTCCCATTTGTCCCTGCTGTGACTTCAGCTTCTGCATCTGGGGCAGGAGAGTCACCATCTGGGAAGAGAACAGGGCACAAAGAGTTAAAATGCTGCAGGAAATAAACAAGCAGGTTTTAAGGCCAGTTTCTATTCTTAGAAGAAAGTGTGTCTCTTAAAGACAGCCTTAACTTCATCCTCTTATACGGATGACTTACCGAGAGGCTCATATTAAAAATAATAAATGATTTCTAAGGGCTCAAGATCTCATTTTAAGAATTCAATGAAAATTTAATTCTTGATTCACCATGTCTACTGAGTCACCACAATAAATCTGGCCTTTCTTATTTGCAAACCTTTCTGTTTTAGGGCTGTTTCTGTTCCCAAAGTGGACGGATTGTGGGCTACAGGTTAATTTTTCCTCCTGATTAAAAGACTTGTTTAATGTCTGTGAGGCCACAGTTCACCATATGACAGCGATCTACACCTCCTTCTCTTTGTGCTGACAATAAATATTGTTACCTTCCAGCTTGTGGATCTCCTCGGTTGTCACTTCTAAGGTTTCATCAGATAGAGAGGCAACCTGGACGACCTGCAGGAGACAAAAGCAAGCAACAATACCTTCATACGCAGGCACTGGTGTCAAAGAAAGACAGCGGGGATCGGCTGAAGGAAAAACAATCCTCAAGCCAAAAGGCATTTAACTCAACTGGACTTTGAGGTCACATATAGATGCATATGTGAGGTCTGTACTGCCAGTGTGTCCTTTTAAGTTGTAGCAAAAAAAATTAAAAAAAAGTTTAACATTAGAATAAAAAGAAGTCAGGTATGCTGTGCAGGCAAAATCAAATACCAGAATGTTTTCTGATATTTCACATGGTTAATTGGTCTGTGAGAGCAGACCTGAGGTATTCACATATTCATCAGAGCAGTGAGAGTCAGAGGATTGGTCTTAACAATCCAGGGGAACTAAAGATGTGATTCTGCAGAATCACTCCTCCAACATCTGCAAGATTAATCATCCCTCTTTCTCTCCTTAGAAGAAAGCTTGTTGGTTTTTTTTCTAATTTTCACTATTTTTCTTGAACCGACATACAAGCTACACACAGCTCTTTACTGATCAGATTTTCCTTTTTTTTGTAATTGATTAATTATTTTTTAATTTAAAAAAATAGGCAGATGTCCTTGAAGTCACAACCTTCCCTCCTTCTGCAGTTAAATCCACTATTAAGGAGGGCTTCAGGCTGGGACTACTTGACACAAAGCAAAATGAGATCAGATTTGAAAACTGCTTGACATAACCCTTTTCTTTGGTAAGAGGCTTGAAGATCCTCTTAAGTTAATGGAAAAAAAAATAGGGAACAAATTAAGACAGAGTCACTACAAACTTCATTTTGGAACTAAAAGCATTTGACTGCTCTAAAAATATTGGCCTGAACCTTTATGAAGGGAAATCTATGAGGGTAGGAAGAATTACACAGGATATATAAGTATATAAAAGGCTTTAGACAAAGCAAAAATGCTGTTTATAAAAGATAACGACTTTCAGAAGCCAGAGAGGGAACTATACATACCAACTGGGCAAAAGTAGTCACTTTCAGTCTCTTAAACAGCTCATCCTTTTTGTATCTGTAATCTCCAAAAAGAAAACAGAAGAGGAAAAAATTAATTTTCAGTTAAAATTGAGTAAATTCAGTAAATTCCCGACTTTTGTAAATAACTGGCGATAGGCTGAGGACCGGCTACTCTTGTAGACTCTCTTCTCCAACAAGGCAGGGATTCTGGACGCGAAGCTTGCGCTGAAGAACCGGAGCAGCAAACCTGAAGGCTTCTGCAAAATAAAACCAGTTATAGAGATTTTGTCCAGATGCAAATGGAGAAGGCAGATTTCATTGCTTTCGGACTCGAATCTGCATTATTTTGCGCTTCCTGTGCTCAGCGAGGGGAGGGAAGCAGTTTCATGAATTTATCACTTTGTCCAAAGCCTGCTACGGTCGCAAAGCTTCTTAAACCAAAAGATTTAATTTACCTGAATTTTTTAATTTGTGAAAGTTCCAGGAACATCAGAGCATGGGACACTGCATCTCAGATGATGACTTTGCAGATATTAAGCTAAATGTGTATGTTTAATTTTACCAATTAAAATGCTCCATGTTTGATTGCTTTATCCAATAATTAAATTCGGATTCCTAAAATTTGCTAATATGGATATTGAAAGGAATGGAGAGTGGCCAGAAGGTGTCTAACACAGAAAACTGAACAGCAGATCAGCGCGAAGCACTAATTGCTACAGAGAAACTGGATTAATCGAGTCTTAAACTCGAAGACAAAGCTTAAGCAGCAAGAAAACCCAGCGGGCTGTTGGGAAGGACTGGCAAACAACCAGAGCGGAGATTAACAGTGCTAAGAAAGCGATGACAAGGGTGGAAGTCTGATTGCATCCAGATACTTGAGATGCATAAACAGGAGGAAGAGAAGCCTTGTAGTGTGAGATAAAAGGGTGTATGGAGTAGGAGAGAGAAGCGAAGACGAGTATCAATAGGAACATCACGATGTGAAATAGCCTCCCCCCTGGGATGTAACAGGAGCCCTGTCCTTTGGGAAATCCTTTGGGAAACTTACAGCTAGGAAAGAGATAGTAGAGGATGAAAAAAAAAAAAAAAAAAACAATCAGTCCTGCACCGGCAGGGAAAGGCAAAGAAAATGAACAAAATTCCTCCTGTGGCAGGCACTGCAGCTGTAACAGGGTTCTTCATGCAGCTGTGAGCAGCTGTGGTGTCACAAATCTAAATTTTCTTAAGAAATAGAATTGCTCCTCCTTCCTTTTCCTCCTCCCTTACTGGGCTCCACCTCCAAAGTCACCGATTTCTATTTTTAAAACAGAAAAATAATCCTTTGCATTTTTCTACCAATGTCAGAGGATATTGCAAACCAGCCTCTCCCCAGCTGTTCGGCCAAGAGGGCTAACACCAGAGAACAGGACCTTGAGCCAATCCAGCCAGTTTAGCAATTCTAAATCCTTTAAAACCATCTGCTGAACGCTCCGTAGCTTAAGTGAGGGAAGATGGGGGGAGAAGAGGGAAGGGTGCCAATCCACGTTCCTGAAACTGCCACACAAAAAAATGACCGCAAAGTTAGCTCATGGAAACTCTCAAGCTGACGTGTGTTTAGAGAAGGAGCCACGCAAACGCTGGAGGCTGAGATCTCTGCCCCACACAAGCGGTGATCACGCGGCTCCTGGCAGACCTTCTGATCGGACAAGATTCTCCCCGTACACAGCCCACGGGCACATGACGGCAGCAGGATAGACACAAAAAGAGAAATTTCATCTAGGTTTTTTTTTTTTTTTTATTCCTATCCCTTCCTTAAATATTCTTTCCTAGGAGGTAAGCCAATTAATTGTCATCATTCAGAGCAAGCAGAGCTCCCAAATTCAACATCCTACTCTATATAATTTTTATTAAGCCGCAAAGCAAGCACTTACTACTCAACATCTCAATTAAAAAAAAGGAGTCCATCCAAAATATCCCAGTGCACTGCAACTATGCATTTCATACCACGGGTCTGAAGCACAAGACTTGTGCATAAACTGCATTTCAGAACATCAATGAACTTGAAAATGTTAATTTAACCTCCAGGTTCTTGCAAAGCCAACCTGGTTTCAAGCCTCAAGTCCACGTTGCTAAAGCATCTCTTTAATTTGAAAATAACAACAATTATCTTTTCTAAAGCCCACTTCATCTGCTTGACACAGCACACACTATATAGCCCTTGTTCAAAGGATTAAAGCTCCCCAGTCACAGAAAAAAAAAAAGAGCCCTTCAGTCTTGTGAAGAGCAAGAAATAAACAGAATTTAGAAGGACAAATAAAAGCAGCAGAGCTGCTGAAGCCCTGGATGTATACAAACACCCACAAAGCAGAACTGTTGTCCCAATGCTCACACAATACAGCTGCTGGATGGTTTCCTCCCACCTCCAGAAAGGATTATTTATCCCACAACAAGCCTTTACGACCTAGATCTTGCCTTTACCGTCCAAAATTATTTTTATCACCAAAAACCTGCTGTTACAAAGCCTGACCTGGAGCAAACCGATCTGAACGTCCGTGCGAGCCTCCCAGCCGTTACCAGAAAGTTCAGAATTAGTGCTGGGTCTGACTACAAAAGCAACACGACGTACCTGGTCCTGTCCCAGAGGGTTCATTTGGATTTTCAGACATTTTTTTGTTTTTTTGCTTCAGTGAACCGGTCTGAACCTGGAATTATTGTGTATTGAAGGAGGTGCTCCTCGGGGCTTCGGAAATGAGTGAAGCAACACCAGAGAAAGAGGAGAGACACCAAGTCTCTTCCCAAGTCAGTCCTCCAAAGGACAAATCGTCGTGGTTCCAGCTCTCTTTATCATTTTTGATTCCACAGCGGGCTCGCGGTATTAAGTCTCACTCTCTCAGATTACACAAGAGACAGAGAGTTGACTGTACTGGGTATTTAAAATTGGGTCCAAACGGTGTCATCTATCCATGAGAAATCAAGGGGGAGAAGTTTCTAAACTGCCTGGGAACACAAGGTGCCTATTCAGCCCCAAAATAATGAGGAAGTTTCTACTGGAGTCCAGAACTGTGATTAAACAAAAGATCTCCGACACGAAATCAGATTCGCAGCAAGAGATGGAAAACTGACTACACCTAGACAACAAGATTTTGAGCACAGATAGAAAAACGATAGCGCTAAACACTGACTTGCCAGAATCTTAGTCAACACAGGATTTTGGAAAGTGAGGTTATTTCTCTTTGGATTTTCTCCAAAGACCTGTGGTGTTTAAAAATAAAAATAACCCAAAAAATAAACCAGCAACAAAGGATCATTTTGCACGAAGCCAAGCACAAATATATTTATGTGACAGATGAGTGACCTCCCTCATAATCTGAATGTTTCCATCTTAGATGAGCACAGTAAGTGGGGCTGAGAAGTAAAATTGAACATTCAAAATCCTAATTAATCCTTATTAACGGGGAGGAGGTTTTTTTTCACATTGATAAATGCAGCTTTTGGGTTTAATACATTTCCTGGCTCTCTATGTAAAAATAACTTGGACAGTAGACGAAAATAAAGTAGCAAAACATTAGTTTTACTAGTAAGAATTTTTTTAATGGTCTGTTCTTAGTGGGAAAACATTGACTTAAGTCTGTTTTCAGTGGGAAAAGAGACTGAAATACGAATCAGTTAGGCTTTCATTAGCCTGAATGACCCAAAGCCTTCAAAACATCAAAGTTGTTCTGGTAAACAACGTTATTCTGGTAAAATCCATGAGTCACACAGGAATGAGCTTGTCTTGGAGTATTCTGATAGAAATCTAAGAATGCTAAGTTTATAGAAAAGGAAAAGATCTCAAGGTCTTTTTTTTTTTTTTACCTAAAAGTGAAATAAAGTCTCAGAAGTGCAGTCTGAGTCTTTACAGATGAGTCTAGTCTAGTTTTCTTAGTCCAGAGAACTTCTTCTTGTCTGGCTTCCACTCAACATCAAAAATTGCACAAAGAAGGATCTGGAAAGACTCCTAGACCTGACTGCCTGGGTTACGTTAAATCTGTAAAGCACTGTGAGAGGCAGCAAAATAAGGCACAGAAATGAGTGGAAGGTGCCTAGAATCAAGGCAGAAGCATCCTTGTATCCTACTGATGCGTGTTTCCACAGTTCAGGCCTGTCAATGGCTGCACGAATCACTGGAGCAGAGAATTCCAGGCAAACAGAGTCTGGGATTCAACCCCTGCTCCTCCACGGTCTTTCAGTTGTGATCTAACCCACCACAAATTATGTTCTGCTCCTCTCCAGATACTCACTTCTTTTGATCTCTTCCAACTTCTCAGTGTATTTTGTTAAACTGTTTCCTGTAACAAAAGAAAAATCAATCAGCTTGTTACAACTTTTTTATTAGTGGTTTTCTTCAGTGCTATTAAGCCTTCCATTTTTTTTTTGAAGGAAAAGAGCAGACTATGATAACAAATGCTTGTTGTAGATCCTCTCTCCCTATGCTAATACACGGGAGCTATAATTTTAAAAGTACCACGATTTTCCTCTTAGCGCTTTTCTCTCAGAAGAAAGGCCAAACTAAACAGCAAAGTCATCAAAGGACTTGCTGGACCCCAGCTGTCAACAATCTCTAGGAACAGGCAGTGCTCCGGAGCTTAAAGCCTCCGTACTGCACAGGGGAAGTCACTGAGAATGTTCATGACCTGAAGGAGCTCAAGTCTCCTGCATATACTCCCAGCACTATTTTGGTTCTTCTACAGAACACATTAAGTTTTATTTTAGAGGATTTTCAGTAAAGGGTACAGAATTATCCACACTCTGCTAGTCAGAACAGTGACAGTCACAAAAATCCACCTTGTAGCACCCTTCTCATTTATAAATTCCCCACCAAGTCCTCTCTACTCAAAAGCATCAGTTGTTTTGATGTAAGTTGTTCAGAAATACCTACAACTCAGTACATTACAGACTCCCTATCTTATGCCCCTCACTCTAAGGGAGCTGAAATCAGGACCGTGGTGTTCAAATCCTGCCTCTGACACACCGCCTCAAAGCCCAGCTGTGGCCACATTGTTCCCTCTCCTCAATATTTCCGTGTGGGTACTACAGACAAGTGTTACTGGACAAAATTTAACTGCTTTAACAACAAAAAAAAAATCCCCAAAGACGTCCCCCAAATAATTATCTTGACTTACGTCCTTGTCAAGATATTAATTTATACAAGAAAAGTCCACATATAGAAACACCAAGACCAGCAACTTCTATGGGAACTTCTATGGTAATAAGGAGAGAGACATCACAATTGCGATGCCGGTTCTGACACAGAGGGGGTAAAGCAGCTCAGCACACAGGCACTTAAGATTCAGCATATTTTTGGATATTCCTACACCCACTTTTGGCATTTTTGCCCTAAACATTGCCCGCAAGCAATGGTTTAGCTTACCGGTATCGAGGCGGGTTTTGATATGTTGGTATCTGGGATTCTGAGGGATGCGCCTGGTTAAGTACTGTTTAAAAGGGAAAAAAGAGAAGAAGAAGTCAACATACAGCCATGTATTTATTTCAAAAGTAAAAAAACATTAAAAGAAAAAGCAACCTGAAGAGCTCAGAGCCAGCAGCGAGACCCCAGGCACCCTCCCAGACACCCTCCGCTCCCAGGCAGGAGGAAGGAGCTCTGAATTTCCCCCTGGATATTAAATCTCCCGCCCAAGCGCCACTTTAAAGCCTCAAAAGGAGGATTTCTCTCCCTCT